CTGACTAGTATCTAAACTTGTTTTCATAACCGACTAGTATCTAACCGTGTGTTCGTAACTGACTAGTATCTAACCCTGTGTTCGAAACTGACTAGTATCTAACCCTGTGTTCGTAACTGACTAGTATCTAACCCTGTGTTCGTAACTGACTAGTATCTAACCGTGTGTTCGTAAGCAACTAGTATCTAAACTTGTTTTCATAACCGACTAGTATCTAACCGTGTGTTCGTAACTGACTAGTATCTAACCCTGTGTTCGTAACTGACTAGTATCTAACCCTGTGTTCGTAACTGACTAGTATCTAACCGTGTGTTCGTAACCAACTAGTATCTAAACTTGTTTTCATAACCGACGAGTATCTAACCGTGTGTTCGTAACTGACTAGTATCTGATCATGTGTTCGTAACTGACTAGTATCTAAACTTGTTTTCGTAAATGACTAGTATGTAACCCTGTTTTCGTAACTGACTTGTATCTAACCTTGTTTTCGTAGCTGACTAGTATCTAACCTTGTGTTCGTAACTGACTAGTATCTAAACTTGTTTTCGTAAATGACTAGTAAGTAACTCTGTGTTCGTAACTGACTAGTATTTGACCTTGTGTTCGTAACTGACTAGTATCTAACGTGTGTTCGTAACTGACTAGTATCTAAACTTGTTTTCGACACTGACTAGTATCTAACCGTGTGTTCGTACATGACTAGTAAGTAACTTTGTATTCGTAACTGACTAGTATTTGACCTTGTGTTCGTAACTGACTAGTATCTAACCTTGTTTTCGTAACTGACTAGTATCTAACCTTGTTTTCGTAACTGACTAGTATCTAACCGTGTGTTCGTAACTGACTAGTATCTAACCCTGTGTTCGTAACTGACTAGTATCTAACCCTGTGTTCGTAACGAACTAGTAAGTAACTCTGTGTTCGTAACTGATTGGTATCTAAACTTGTTATCATAACCGACTAGTATCTAACCCTGTGTTCGTAACTGATTAGTAAGTAACTCTGTGTTCGTAACTGACTAGTATCTAAACTTGTTTTCATAACCGACTAGTATCTAACCGTGTGTTCGTAACTGACTAGTATCTAACCCTGTGTTCGTAACTGACTAGTATCTAACCCTGTGTTCGTAACTGACTAGTATCTAACCGTGTGTTCGTAACCAACTAGTATCTAAACTTGTTTTCATAACCGACTAGTATCTAACCGTGTGTTCGTAACTGACTAGTATCTAACCCTGTGTTCGTAACTGACTAGTATCTAACCCTGTGTTCGTAACTGACTAGTATCTAACCCTGTGTTCGTAACTGACTAGTATCTAACCGTGTGTTCGTAACCAACTAGTATCTAAACTTGTTTTCATAACCGACTAGTATCTAACCGTGTGTTCGTAACTGACTAGTATCTGATCATGTGTTCGTAACTGACTAGTATCTAAACTTGTTTTCGTAAATGACTAGTATGTAACCCTGGTTTCGTAACTGACTTGTATCTAACCTTGTTTTCGTAGCTGACTAGTATCTAACCTTGTGTTCGTAACTGACTAGTATCTAAACTTGTTTTCGTAACTGACTAGTATCTAACAGTGTGTTCGTACATGACTAGTAAGTAACTTTGTATTCGTAACTGACTAGTATTTGACCTTGTTTTCGTAACTGACTAGTATCTACCCTTGTTTTCGTAACTGACTAGTATCTAACCTTGTTTTCGTAACCGACTAGTATCTAACATAGTGTTCGTAACTGACTAGTATCTAACCTTGTGTTTGTAAATGACTAGTATCTAACCTGGTGTTCGTAACTGACTAGTATCTAACCTTGTTTTCTTAACTAACTAGTATCTAATCTTGTGTTCGTAATTGACTAGCATATATCCTTGTTCTCGTAACTGACCAGTATCTCCTCTTGTATTCGTAACCAACTAGTATCTAACACCGTTTTCGCAAATGACTATTATGTAACCTTGTGTTCGTAACTGACCAGTTAGTATCTAACACCGTTTTCGTAACTGACCTTGTTTACGTAACTGACTAGTATATGAACATTAAAAAATAGAACGATAACAAACAATATTTTGTGCATGTTTTGGAGTACCTAGTTGCCATAGATAGAAACCCGAATGTACACAAACCAATAACCTGTGTTAAATCACATTGCAATGTCCAATTCAATATTTCTCGGGTTGTATTCCGCTCACATTATATCACGTACAGGTGTGGTATTGTTTTTTTGGCAGCCAATTTCAATCAAATCATTTTCCGATCATTGCGAGATCTCACAGTATGCGTGAAACGGAACATAACAACATTTGGGGGGTATTTCCACGCTTAGAAATGTGCTATATGATGGTCAATTTTGATGAATTAAAGATATCTCAACGTCATATTCTCTCTGAAAGATAGGAATTGCGACATTGAGCTATATAAAAAAAATCGAAAATTAAATCATTAGATTTTTGCGGTAGAAGTACGTATAGCGCCTTTCACGCGTCACGCGAGATCTCATAGTGCACGGGAATTCACTCATTAGTTTTTTGAGGGTGTTTGCAATGATGGAGTAGCTTGGATGTTTTGTACATGCGACGATTTTTACAAATCCAGTATGCAGAGAATACAACACCCACGTTGTCACTAGAGGGCGCAATACACCTAAACCCTGTTACTGAAAATCGCTTGTGAGTACTGTATACTTATGAACCAGCGATCTAAATGAGACGGAAACAGCGACGCTAGCCAACATGATTGGGAAACGTTTCCTAATAACGCTTGGAATGACGGGACATTTTAAATTTAACATTTGAACGTTCGTTTTTTATGGGGATACATTTTCTGAAAAAAATATATATTATTCCATCATTAAATCTTTAATTATTTAATTAAAACGCGCCGCGTAGACGTCCACTGCCATGTGATCACTGCGAAAGGGCGATGACTCAACGGCATTTTCGAGCAATGTCACTGTCTCGATAAAATGCGCGAGAAATTTAAATTACGCATGGCAGATACGTTCGAATTATCCAAAAATGCTCATATTTGGTGCAGCTTTCCCCCAGAAATACCAGATACTATAACGGTTTGATATCAACGGGCTTTCCACGGTGCGGCCATATATGCGGTAATACTTAGCATTCGCATATAGAACTCGTTCGCCCATCGTGTTCTCGATGATTGTTAAGCAAACCAAGTCATCAATCAAACACCTTCAGTTTCTAATTTAGCGCAAAATTAAACAATTTCTTTTTCTATTTGTTTAAGAGCCCTCGCCTCGTAATATTAGTAATGATAGTATATGATATGATGAATTCGGGTAGCTGGTTAGAATATTTCTCAATTCTAAACATTTCTCCTGGTTACGTTTAACTAGATTAAACATGACAGCTTCCGATTTACACTCCCAACGAAAAACTGTTGACGTAAGCCGCGCCGTGTCAACTCTGACCCTCTTGGCTGCCATGGAAACAGCTGCCACCTCTCGTTTGCTTTGCGTTTGCGTTGCCCATTCATCATATGGAAAGTGACAAGATAGGAAACAAACATGACTGGCCGGTTATTAATCGATGTTTACAAAACAGGGCATGAGAAATGAACAAATTCTGTCAATGGTAGCTTGTTGGTAAGCCGTGTTCATGCATCGTAATCTGCTGCTGGCTGCTAAAAACTTAAAGCGCGGCTCTGCTATTTAAACTCCCAACTACTAAAAGACGGAAGAATGCTAACAAGGTTGGTAAAATAGTGAAACGAAGCGAATCATTCGGTCGCATTCGTGTCTGTCACATTTTATGACACACCCCAAGGCTTCCTCGTCTCCGCATTGGGCCAAACCTGCGACTAAATGAAGTCACCTGGCTGGCAGAGGTCGCACAGAGTCACTTGTTGTTTGCCAACTTACTCCCAAACGTTATCATATAATCTGCTTAAGGTAGCAAATGTGAAAGTCTGGATGGAAAGGTCCTCAATTATGTGGCAATCGTTATGACAGCCGACTTAATGTATAAGTTTATTGACTTATGCTTTTTTTGTGTGAATTCTCTTACATTTTCCTTTGTTTTTTTAATCAAACATACTCTCCATTGTCTTACACACGATTTGAAATTGTGTCGGGTGGAACACAGAGAAGTAAAGCTACCTGCATCTTGTATGCAGGCAACAAAACCTTGTGTATCGGGTATCAGCGACGAGGATTAGGGGGCGGTCTGTTTTCTGGTTTGCAAATGACTCCAGCTCCCCTAAGTGTTTGAATGGAAACTCACCAGGTGTGTGTGGCAAAACCACGTTAAAGCTCTCAGAAGACTCGCTGGGTAGAGAGAGAGAGAGAGAGAGAGAGAGAGAGAGAGAGATGGGACGAGAAAGGGCATTGATGTCCCTATGGTATCAACAGTGTTCAGCGTCCTGCTATTGGAATAGGATGGACTAGACTTGTCTGCCATTGATTGATGATCCTGCAATATCAAAATCAATAATTAGTAAATAATTGATTTGCGGACTCAAGAAATGCAGTGAATGAGAAGAAGTCAACGACATCACGTCGTGTCATGATCGTCCCAATTCGTAAATTTGGCTGCAAATTTTAGCAATCAAGAAGAAAATACGCGCACAAAACAACATAAAAAAATTCAATTGTTCGCCTTGATGTTATGTACACACTCAACATGCGCGGCAGTTCTTTGTCCTCCCCAGTAATTTAAATGTATTATTTGGGCGAATGATGCCGCAACTTGCAGGCACGACCACTTAACATATAATAGTATAAGCACGGATTAACCAATTTAGCTGTCCTCTTCATCTTAAAGTGCAGACAATTCTTCACTCCCTGTGGTAGTCGAATTAGTGATATCAATACCTTCATTCAATATGACGGCCATAGGAAAAAATAACAGCAACTTAGGGCGGCCATAATTTATTGGACGTGTGCCACGCCTGCTGCCGACATACTGCTTCAAAAACACCATCCATCCTTTGCTACGCTTGCCATTTCGAGGCAATTGCTAGGCAGGGCAATAACTTTCCACACCAGGCCTTATATACACAGTATACGGTTGTGGTGTATATAACAGGAAGACACCACTGAGTGAATGCCATCATCGCACTGAAGATTTACAAACTTTATGTGCGGAGTACATACTGATTAGTGAGTGTCATCCGGCGGGCACTTTGGTTTTCGACATCCTATGGTAACGAAATCATTTTCGATAAGGATCGTTTTTGACAATAATTATACCTGGTATTTTTAAAAACGAAGTTGGAAAGAGACATCGGACCGAAGATGCCCGAAACAGCAGATCCATCAACTATTATAGTTCCTTCAAGAAGTGTAGTTGCGTCAAGCGAAAATGAGAACATCATTTTGAAAATGGATTTGTCAGACAACGAACACAGTATTAAAGATGAGCTGTCATACCGGTCTGATGATCAAAGTCACGAGGACAATTTAATGGAAGACAGAAACATAGAAAATACCATCTCCACAAGCACAACAACAACGACAACTACTTCTGGGAATTCGTCAGGAAAGGCGACATACCACCGACACCCCAAACCACCGTTATCGTACATTGCACTAATTGCTGCGGCAATACAAGAATCGCCTACCAGGAAATTAACTTTGGCAGAGATCAACGACTACCTGATGAAGAAATATCCCTTCTTTCGCGGTAGTTACACGGGTTGGCGGAACTCGGTCCGACATAATCTCTCTCTCAACGAATGTTTCACGAAAGTCCTTCGTGACCCGTCTCGTCCTTGGGGAAAGGACAACTACTGGACAATCAATTGCAACAGTGAGTATACTTTCGCCGACGGCGTCTTTCGGCGCAGAAGAAAAAGAATCAACAGGAAAAAGTCGAAAAAGAGCAAGGAGATTGGATTGACTGGCCATCATATCGCGGTTGCAGGAGAGAAAAAATTCAACAGTCCCTTCGCTATTGATAATATCCTTGGAAAATCATCGGACGATGAGACTCATCTACTCCACACTGTGGCGGTGTCGGCTCCTTCGCACTGGCACAACGGATTTTCGACGGTAAATGGTATCGAGCACCAAAGACTCATTTTGCAGCAGCAGCAGCAACAACATTTATATGAACGAAAATTGCTCGGTTACCCTGTCCCCAGTACGGGTCTGCATGCTTTCTCTCCTGTTGCGGTAGCCGCTACAGCGCACCACGCGATCATTCCTGCTTATTACCAAAGTCTCCTGCAGTCCGGTTACAGGTACCCGGCGATGGAGGCTCTCCAACAACACGTCCGCGCGCATAGTCACATCAGCGGCACGACACACCAACTACATTCCCACCAGGCCACACAAGCCTCCGTGGCGGTTAAACCATCTACGGCTGCCATAGTGTACTCTACCATGATGCCAGAAGACTTACGCGTTAGCAGCAGACATCAGCGGGACGGTGCGAGCTCACAGACGCGGCGAGCAGAGCCGTCGCTCCGACAAAGTACAAGTAGTTTCAGCGTGGAAAATTTGATATCTTAGGAACAGTGTTAATATGTATTAATACAGGTATCGTAGTGTATGTGTTCCCGAGCTTCAACCAAACTCTGTTAAGTCGGTGAGCACGTCCTGAAATGCAACATAAATTGATAATCGCATTACACCGTTGTCAAGATGACATTGTTTAAACGTTGGTGGACTTTAGTCGAACATGGAACGGATAAAACGCACCACAATTGTATGCGAGGCAGTAGCCGCTCGGGTGGTATAAAATATCTCTGTCAAATCGGCAGCGTTAGGTGTGTATAATACGATATTTAAGATCCAAATTAAAATCACTGGCTGCATGTTTTTTTCTTTTCTTCAAATGTATGTACTAAAAAGGCAATTCTGAGAAACCCATAAATATGGCGTTTCTAAGTACTAGTATTACAGTGAATTCATATTTTAGGGCTGTTTTTTTTTAATTTCAGGGTTAATGTAATAAATGTTATTGTGATTTAAAAAATTGGACGGCTAAAATTACTGTACAATATTCCACATTTGTACAACACATTGTGGAGATAAAACTCTGAAAACAAAATGAAATTGGAAAGGCTTGCCTTTATTCCATAATTCATTGCTTCAATTGCACGTTCCTGTACTCTATCAAAAAATATTTTTTTTTTGGACAGTTCTGTTCAAATTTGTACTGATATTTGTTAGCTCGATGTTAAAAGAAAACTTCCACAATAATGTTTGAGTATTTCGAAGACGATATAGCATGCAATGCTGACATAAATAGTCTGTATTTTCAACAACAGACTTATTTTTTATCGAAGAAGCAAAATGTATTTTCCATGGTGGGATGTCGACTCTTTTCTTTATACATGCCAATTTTGCCTTGATTTAGATTAGGTACTGTGTATCGATAAAGTCAGTCAATTATGAAAATGCGATATGAAATTCTAACCCGACTTACAACGAGGATTTGTAAAAACAGAACCCTATATCGTAGGGTAGAGATAGTTAACGATAAAAAGCATAGTCCAGTCAAAATCATATAAATATAATTCTTCGGTATAACGTGTATATATATATATATATATATTTATTTCGAAACTACACACCTTTTATATTTCGCCATTGTATTCGGAAACTGCATACGAACACATTGAACCGGACTACAAACTAAGTAATTGTAAAACTGTGAACTGTGAAAATAATTTCTTTTCGATTCTACACCAGTAATACTGCCACAGGTGATTACAAAGATGCTCGATGTTGATTGCAGAGCAGTGTAATTTTAATAAATGTCCCACAGACGTAGATTTGCTAGTGCAAAACATTGCAAAATGCATGTTCTTTGTCTCCGTATGTCGCGGCGACATACCATAATTACATACGGCATAAAATAGCTTGTACTTTAATGTCACGTGTATCTGTGATTTCATTAAAGTTTCGGCCTTACAATCATCTATAATATTGCAGACTGGATGCACACATTTTGAATAATTTGTTAAAGAGATGTAAGTAAGTCATAGCTGCAATGTATTTGTGTTATTATCGTTGCCAGGCGCACGTTTCGATTCTCATCAACGCCTTCACTGCTGCGGGGGTGACGCCTCGGGTGACCGTGATATGACTAACTCCAACTCATCCATTTAACGAAATAAACGTAAATACCAATGAATTTGGTAAAATAAACCGAGTTTGAGTTACCGCTCAATTACTCGAAGTAGACATAATCACGTAGGCTTTTTGGACTTGGCAGAGAAACATCAACTCCAACGTGTTCCATATGCGCTGCAGCTCGTCGTGTGTACACGCCTAAGGGACATTTTTCATGTCAGCTGACACTTTTTATAATAACTGACTTAGGACAATTATTATTTTTATTTTTCAATTATTGTTCATTTTTTTTTTATTTCAAAGTCCAGTTTGGTTGACATCAATTGTATTTTGAATAGCTTTCATGGTCCAGGAGACGCATACCCACTTGTTCAGTTTATGCAAAATGGCGTGTAGCCGACAGCGATGACTCAATGATTATGCCCGATCATGTCGGATTGGCATTTTTATATAAACATTTTATTTGTAAATGTTCCCAGACACCCACATACCTCGGTTTATATTATTGTTTTGTTTAGACGAGGTCTTGTGTATATTATTAATACATCGGATATTCCGTGTAATTCATGATCCACACCCATGTCATATTTCACCCGTTGTGGTACATATTTTTTTGGCCGGTCATGCCGCCGGCTGTTATCAACGGGTCAACGTTACACACCGTATTGACAGGTGCCTAGCTAAAATTATAGTTTCAACATGGCAATGTATATGATATGAGGAATGTTTTTTATTGTGGAAATTAAGGGCTAATTCATGATTTTCTTCCAATCAATTTAATAATTAATTGCTTAATCAAATGTATTTGGAGAGGGAAATTGAACGATCTTATTTGGGTAATAAAAACATAAGGATTTCTGAAACATTTCACGTACAATTGTCGAATGCGTAATAACACATGTTTTGTTGTTGTTTGTGTGTGTGTGACTTCTACAGTGTCGATAATCACACTGTTGAAAACTACCCCAAGGTGTGTCAATTTCAGTGCCGTGTTTATAGCGTGAATTTGAGAAGTTTATCTAGCTTTTCTCTGCTGGCCGAGTAAACGCTCCTTTGTAACATTCACGCCTGGGGGATTACACGGAGAAGTTTACGTCGGTGCTACGGCCGTGATTCCCCATAAAATGAGCGGAAGGCTGCGTTATTTGCCTGTAACTGTAATCCGGGCGTATCGCCTGACACTGTTTTGGCTTTGTATACCTGAATCGCTTTTTACTATTTTCAGTTCTTTATTCTCTAAACTTGACATTGTGTAAACTCTACCTTGGGTATCACTAATGTTGACGACTTACAGGAGGGGGGGGGGTAAATTTACTCAAAAATTTACTGCTGTGGTATTAACAAGTAGTTCCAAACCAATGTGTTCGCATTCTTTATCCCCCAGACGATCAGCAGGGTGGACATAAAAGAAGTCGTCCTCCATGTTAGCTGTGTAAACCAGGCAGTGGGTGAAGTGTATTGACTCACTTTCACAATATATCCATGTTTGAATCGTTCAATGCCACCGTCGTCCTCTCAAACCACACACGTGCTTTCATTCGCGTTAATAATCCGGCTGTTTTGGTGAACCCCGATAATTCGTGGTATGCACTGGCGCCTTTCATTGGGACAGGTATACGTGGCGCATAATGGTTACCGTTAACGCATAAGACTTCAGAGTACATTATAGATTTAAAGCGCGGTGGTCGTCGCGCAGCGCATGTTCGAATTTCATGTAAATAAACAATGTATTTTACACGCGTTGTATACGTCGCTACGAGTCCCATATCGAACAGGACGCGGCGCGACGACTGCCGCCCTTTAAATGATTTGGCCAATGTAACGTAATGAGTGCTGGAAAATATATACTTAAAACACTTTCGAACCTCCCTAGATTGTATGAGTGATGTCAAGATAAGCATAGTTAAATATTCCCATCTCAAGATTATATAGTCTCTATGGCTATGTGTATTTCCTTTAATTTGATATTGTGTCGAATTCCAGTAGCCAATGTGACGTATCTGAGAAACATGCCAAAACACAAACACTGTCGAGTTTGTAAGTACTTGACAGTGCGCTTCAATTGCAATATCATGCAGATGAGATTTTTTTTTTCAGGGAATTATCCTACAGCTCAGTTATGTTAAAAATATCCATCTTTCTACCGGCTGATTCAAAGCGCTGCCATATTAACGTCACCATATTACAATGTTCACCTCTACTATATCCATTCTCATAGTCGATATTTTGAAAGCGGGTCCCGTTATGCTGTTACAAAACAGCATGTTGTTTATCGATGTATTTAGCAATATATATGTGCGTTCAGTTTTGCGGTTTAATTTATTTTCAGAATGGATCTCGTGGAGTTCCTTTGCTTTGAAGAATAAGTTATTAAGATAGTTTGAAATACATATAAATAACGAAATTCTTCTTCGTGTATGTTTTTGTGTTAGCTCTTATACTAAAATAACACGGTGATGTTAATAGTTTATGCAAAAACAATGATAACAAACGAGGCTTCGAACTACAATATATTGTTTAAACTATAATCCAATTTCGTTACTTCGACTGATACCAATAATCGATGTTCTGAGAGGACACCCCGGTGAAACTCAGGTCAGGAGGTCCAGTTGTGGACATTCGTATTGATGTGAAACTCACAAATTGCGCTGAATGCATTGTTTATTATCCATACAGCTATAAGCAATGATGACACCGCAGATGTCAGTTTTCATTTCCATTATCAGGAATAAAACAAACTTTACAAAACGGTATCGAGTTGCAAGTGAACATGTCATGGACGCACGTGTTGGACTCTCACTACAATGCCATGGTCATGATGTTACATTAATTAGATTGTGTTCTACCCTCATGTACGGGTTCTGTTTCGTGTTTATTTCCTTCTTTGCATTTGCGATTAGCATGTATTGTCAACCAATTTAGCGCCTCTGGCAAAGGCGTGAATACATAAAACCAGAGATTCAGTATACATGTATACGGGGACATCGTAGATCGGTATGATATGTTTAAACACTGTGGTTTAAACTCCTGAGCGAAGTATATGTATAGTATTCATACAACATGCATAGATTGACATCTACATGTTATAGTATTGTTTTTGATATTCGTCAGTACTTTTTTATTTTAGTTTCAGCAGTTATTGTTATAGAATACATTATTTATAGGTGTTACGCTCAATTCGACTACTAGATATTCATTAGGATATTTCAACCGAAAAACTGCCTTCGATTTTTTAGGGGACGTACGTCGAACTCCTGGCGATGGTTGGGATGATTTTTTTTTTCAATTGTTATTTTTTTCTGCATTTATCCTTTTCAGAGCCTTGCTTACACGTAACACGTGTCATAGTCACACACGTTGAATGCATGATTGCTGACCCCTCTCCCTCCCCCAGCTTTAATCTGCATTACATACGCATACTCATAACTGATATGGATGAAAGGAAATGTTTTATTGTTACAGAGGATTGTCACACACTTCATATCAACGTCTACTAAGTACCTGTCAAATACCTGACAAATTCAATCGATGTTTTTTTTAAATTATTCAAATTTGCAAATTTTCATTAAAAAAAAAAAGAATATTTTTTCCCGTCAGTGCCACGCTTCTAGTGAGCACGGCCTCGTGCACCAGACGCGTGAAAATGTAACAGGTCTCATACAATTTGTACACGTGAAGCCAACCATTTTAATGGGCAGCGTGCCAAACCACGGTTGTGTACAGGGGGCTAGCTGCTGTCATAACCCACCCCGCGTGAAAGGATGACGGAAAGCATCAGTGCCCGTGAAAGGTGGTCCAGAGTTTACGCACAAACTTTCAAACGCACCGCGTAAACACACCGCGAGACAGTCATTAATCGGACAAACTTTCTCGCTCCCACACTCCAGCGTCGCTTGA